GACCCTGTTTGTGCCTCAGGGAAGGAACCAAATCTCCTGCCTCGTCCCTGGTAGGGCCTGCGAGCACCAGGGATCCTGGCAGAGGCTTTGCTCTGGGAATCTTCACATCCTCGGAAGCGGCAGCCTCCCCAGCAGCCCTCGCAATGCCAAACAGTTGAAGCAAACTTTCTCTTCAAAGCAGCTTGCAAATGCAAATGCAAATGCAAAAAAAAAAAAAAAAAAAAAAGGAGGAAATCAAAAGTAACCACTGGGAGTTTTGGGGCATGGCCAGCACATGACCCCTTTTCACTGTTAGGGCGGAGAAGCCAACAGACCCTCTCTCCAGCCTGGCTTCCCTTCTTACCAAACCAAACCAGGCAGCACGCAGCTGCTGCCGGGGCTTTGCATAAATCAGAAGCTCCAGCTTTGCGGCTCTTACGTGGGGTATTTCCTATAAAAAGCACATCTGTGACCGTGCTTCTTGGTGCAAGAGCCTTTAGCCTGGAAGCAAAAGCACACAAACAATGCTAAATTCATGCTGACTGGAGTCGATTCCAAGGGAAAGAAGAGTTGGGAAAGCACCTACTTAAGCACTGACTAAGGATATTATCTCTGATCTGAATCTCGCCTGTGTGTGTGTGTTACTGTTGAGTACACAGTGCGGTTTCAGACACGGCCAGAGACAAGAAAAAATGATTGTTTCAGGGTAACCACAAGGAAGATGAATGCAAATATATTCCTGTAACTGGGAGAGTTCCCTTGCTCTTAAGCTGGGCTCTGGTACATGGCCTCAGGGAAGCAAATTTGCAACTACCTTCATTAAATTGTTTAGGAATGATTAATCAGAAGTCAGAGACATAAAATTTTTGCACATTGTGAAATGTTAGTTCAACTCCTGCAGTTACACACGGTCTGCAAGGGTGGCTTTAGCCAACCGTCAGAGGACAGGTACTGGTGGTTGATGGATGCTTCCTGTCAGCCCTTATCTCCTCTAGAAGCGGGTTGATAAGCCTCCATCGGCTGAATCACAGCCACCTACATCACAGCGGGACCAAAGTGGTGCAAGTCGTGTGTCAGAGAATCCAGCCTCCTGTGCCATGCGCGCCTGGCGGGCGGCTCGTGTGGGCACCCTCCAGGCTGGTCACCGCCGGCGCAGGAGG